CTTTTCCATGTCACTATCGTGCGTCAATGACTCTGGACGTATGTATGTACACACGACATCAGAGGTCACCAGACGCTCACCGATGGGTAGATAGGTAAAGGGAGAAGTACATCCCGTCCCTCCCTCCCTCCTTCCCCTCACTGACTCACTGTGCCACCACTGTCAGTATCTCAATCTCATCCGCATGGAACTCAAACGACCCCCCCAGCAGTGCATGGTCAAACCTATCCCTCACCCCAGTGTAGCCTGCAGGCACATCGTCCCTGTGGGTCAACAGCTGGCAGCTGCGGATATCGGCCGTCATCCATGGACCCAAAGCCAGAAACCCACCGATGAACACTCTCTCACCGAACACACCTCCCTCCCTCCCCGCCACCGTTACATGCCCATATCTTGGTGGGATGTCTTCTATGATGGTGGGCTGCGCGAAGTGGCCGGCCAGCGAGAAACGCAACACGTCACACTTGTAGTGGTTGGTGTCAGTCGGGTCGTCGGGCAGCCGCAGACCGGCACTGATTGAGGCGCCGAAGACGTACTCGTCTTTGCGGATGATGAACACCAGGCGCGTCTTGTCGCCGACCCTGTCGAGCAGGTCGCCGTACGCCGTGCCGTGGAGAGATGTGCTGCACCACACTCGGCACACATCCGGGAGTGCAGTGGATGGATAGAACGTGCGCTGCCTACCGATAGAGCGACCGCAACTTCATGGTGTAGTCGCCCATCAGTTTTAGCAGGCCGTAGTACTGCGACTGAGTCAGTGAAGTGCCCTCCGGTAGATTCACCTGCACACAATCAATACCACCATACGCACCAGAGATCATCCATCCATCCATTCATCCATCAGCCGGCTCGTGTGTGGGTGAAAGCGTGTGTGCGCACCAGTGGCTTGTGGAGCGACTGCAGAGAGGCCTTGCCGGCTATCAGCTCGCCCACACGGCCCTGCAGACTGCACACAAACAGCACAGTGCAAGCAAAGAATGAAGACACCAGATCGGCCGTGATGTGATGGCTGGCTCCATCTCCCTCATACTCGGCGATGCGTGTAGAGGCGTTCTCCTTCCGCAGATACTTGAGCACTTTGATCATGTCGTACGACTTGGTAATACAGGCCGCCGTGCTGACCACCCTGCCACACATGACAGAGAGAGATAAGAGTGGGGAAGGGCATGTGAGCATATGGCATGTGTGTTTAGCTTCATTTACTTGCAGGTGGGGCATATGATGCTACCATTGGCTCCTTTCAATCGCCTCACACACTGCAGAAGGGCACACAGCCAAAAATGCTGGCCTCCTTGCCGACTCATAACGTATGTGTGTGTGTACTGTGCGCTCACCCCATTGCACAGGGCGTGGCCTGCATCCACCACATGCATCAACACCCATACGACGAGAGGGAATGCATTCCACAGGTCCACCCGCCTGTGTGTGTTGACGTGTGTGTCCGTCCGCCCACCGCATCTGCCGAGGTTCATCGGCATCTGGTCGCCATCTACCTCCCACCCGTCGAAACAGACGGCGCATGTGGGACCGTCGTCATCGGACGCGTCTGCCATGGGTCGTGGGGTGGTCGTTGGTCTCGTATCTATATATGCTATGCCGTCAGGTAAGAGGCGACTTGCCGCAGCAGCAGGGCGAGGCTCCTGGCAACACGCAGCAGCGCAAATGCGATGAATGACGAGTGCAGTGCCCTGCCATCGCTCTCTCTGTGCAGTGGGCATACCTGCTATGAGTTCGCTGTGGTCGTTCGGTGACGTGCTTCCACCGCAGACACCTCAGCAGCTGTCTGACTCAGCTCTATTCTGCAATTTGCTAGTCCCGATGCCGTCCCCGGCCTAATGAGTTAGGGCCGACGGCGCCGTTAACCGGAAGCCGTCGGCGCAGGAGATAAAAACGATCTCGACGTGACACGATAGAGTTTCGGGAGAAAGAAAAACTCACTGAGTAGTTCCTAAACCACCAGGCTCATAACCTCAAACCCTAACCCTAAATCTTTTGTGATCGACAAAGGCCACGGGTGCGAGCTAAGTTTACGATTGGAACGAATGTTCTGAGTCGTTGTTCGTTGGGAGATTAGAGGAGAATGTGGAGTGCGACCCATACGGCATGCACTCGGCGCTCAGAGGAGTGATCGTCTGAGCCTTTCGTGCTCCCTCAGCGGTTTCAGAATGTCTGGCGCTGGCTCACCGCCGACAGACAACAGTTTCCCATCGACTGGTACAGAAGCACCGCACACAACCGACAATCAGTCATTGTGCTTGACTCGCTCTCGCTCACCGAGGTTTCATCTACTGTGCTGTGGTTTCCTGTGGGCCGTGTTGGCATTCAGTTGGTGTGCTGGGCTGTGCCCCGACGTGCCGACGACGACGCGGATCAGCATGACGTCACCGCCGAGCCAGCCAAGGTTGTGGATTTCAGCGACCCGCAGACAGGAGAACGCCAACCTGTACTTATTCAGATCCTGGCGGTAGTATGCACAGCTGCACTATACACAAAAGAACGCATCGCATCGATTGTCTGTCTGTCTGTCTGTCTGTCTGTCAGTGGGCACACGCGGCACTTTGATCTCATTCCGTTTAGCACAGACTACGTCCCATTCGCGCAGGCGTATCGGCAGGAGCCAGCCTCTAAACGATGTTGCCAACGACGAGGATCGTTTGGTGGAAGTGGAAATGCACTAGCGGCAGAGGGCACTAAGGGACGCTCTGCAGATTTGGTGCGACGACATCGGGTGCATCGTGTGCGGCAGCAACAAGGAGCCGCCAACCATCATGCTGTGTAAAAGATGCGACAGCGGCTTCCATTCATCCGCCATGCGTCCCGGTGGACCACAGGCTGACCGCCGTGCCCGAGGAAAACTGGTGGTGCCCCACATGCACGTAAGAAAATGGATGCCACTCCTCAACGACGACGTGCAAGCTTTCTTCCGATTGCACTATGATCAGACCCCATGGCGCTGCCATCCCCTCGTTCGTCGTCACACTCGACCCGCGAGGTTGCTTCAGGCGCCCTCCCAATCTGTACTTGGCTGGCGAGCCCTTACACGCGGGGCTGGTGACGCCGCTGTTCTCGCAATCAGCGATATCCCGATTAGCCGTCATGGGCAGCATGGGATGTGTGGATAACTGCCGTTGGACTGTGCGCCTGAAGATCCGTCAGCTGAGGCGTTTGGCCTTCTGAGTTGTGTGGAGAAGAGGCGGCGGACGATGAGTTCGCTGCCGGTGCCCGTCGCGCACAGTGACATGCCGTTTACTGCCGACGGACCGGTGGAGGACGAAACGGATGAAGAGGATGAAACGGTTCAGCATGCGGGGATACCCAGATAGCATCGATTAAATATGTTTTTCTCTATGTGTGCACACAAGATACATGCATGTGTCGATCGGATGCGCCATGGGAGCTGGCGTTTTGCATTTGACGAGCTGCCAAGGCAAGGATAAGTAGAGCTCGACGTGTGGATTCAGCCGGGCCACGCCCACTAACCTGAGGTGGGCGGGGCCCGGTTGAGCCTCCATGCATCCATGCATGTCTCATCCTCTTCATAATGCTATTCCCCAGACAGTTTGACTTGAATAGAGAAGCAGTGCGTGTCTGCTTTCGCGGGTCTGTCCATGATGGTAGTGTTATACATAGTGGCGTGTCTTGTGTGTCTGAATAAGCAGCTCTCGTGTCTGTTCATGATGTTGTTACTGTACATGCTGACTTGTCTTGTGTCTCGGAATAGACGGCTCTTTTGAAGGGCTGTCGACGCTTCATGTATTGCTTCCAGTTCCGGTGGCGTGTTCCCGGCGTATGGTGCTTTCCTTCGATTATTCCTCCCCAAACCCTAGACCTTCGTGCTAGGTTCAGGGTTTGAGACCGTACCCTGTAACCCCCAAACCCTGGTGACATCTCCAACGACTGGGCATGAGATATGTTGGTGCGCCTGGGGCATGGCATCCTCTCCTGTTTCTCGGCAACCGCCCTCCCACGCTATTCTGTGCTGCCACCCCTGGACGACATCGATGCCATTCGCGCAGCATCAACAGGCATGCCATCGAGATCTGTCAGTGACGTGCTCGACTTGGCAACATCCACCGCGGCAGCGGCTGAGCCAAGCAAAAGGGGGCCCTTCTTTCCCTTACCCTTACGGCAACGCGCACATCAAGTGAGCCTTGCCGTCGGCGACCAAGATCCCAGCCCCAGCCACTCTTCGTGTGGGGATGACGACGTCAAGGAGGCCACCGCGGATTTCCCTGCCAAGTATCTGGTGATGGATCTTGTGGTGGACGTGTGGGGGTCCCCGAGACTGAGGTTCTATCTCCCCGATGTGCCCGCCAAGATGCGATTCCAGTGGATATCGTGCTGTAAGAAATAACAAGGGAAGGGGGATGTGCTTGTGCTGATTGGTGTTTTGCCTTGAACAGTTCTTGGCTGTGTGTGGCTCTTTGTGGTTGGGGCGGTCTCAATTGTTCGTGCTCCCGAATCAAAGTGGGCTGCCATCTACGCTATGAGCGGCATTGGTGGGTGCCAACCACTGTTTTGAGTTGTCAGCCTTTCTTTGGTCACTTGTTTGGCGGTCGTTTGCTTGTTTGCAGCGGGAGATCCCCTGCTGCTGGTTGCCGTCAATTTGCTGTTTCCTTATGGCACGTACAAGAGTCTGGCTACTCAATGCTTGGCACTGATGTATGGGGTTCTTGTAATGGCCGGCGTCCTATTCTATACGGGTAAGGAAGCCAAACAGATCACTTGGCAGCCAAACAGATCACTTGGCTGAATTCAAAGCTGAGCAACCTTAAGCTTTCGCCCTTGGCTCATGGCGCACTTAACCCTTTTCTGTTCCTTCGTTTGTCTGCAGCGTTCGGCTATGCGCTTACCCTGCTGGTCTTGTGTATCTATGTGGGAATGATCACGCCCGCCTTTGCCCTCAATGCCCAGCCACGACTGTTTACTGACGAGGACATGCTGAAGAAGCTGCGTGAGAGTCGATGGCTATCAGCTATATACCACATGTACAGCTTGGTGGATGTCCCTCACACACGCATGCTAACGGCCTCGGAGCATATGTGGGCGGAGCACAGCCGACTGTTCTTTCTGCTTGGGAAGTATGTGCCGTCTATAAGGGCGATGGACGCGTTAGACTTCGATCGAGTGCTCAAGTCTATTACCTTCCTGCTCACCATTGTAGACTTCATGTCGGACCTGGGTAAGTGGGCATCGAGTTCTTCACAAGCCAGCTGTCACAGTTGTTTTTCTTGTCGTCTGTGCAGCTGTGGGAATGGGGATGATTACTCATGGCGTAGTGTTGCCTGGAGTGGCAGTCCTTCTCCTCTGCCAAGTGGACACGATCAGTGCTGCTATCGCTTACGGCATCCGAATAAGGGCGACCTTATGGCAGCACGCATCTCTCTTCGCGGCGTCGCTACTCGAGGTGCCCATTCTGGTTCTCACCATCCTGTATGGAGCAAGATCGACTGACCGCCTGACAACCGCTATCTCGATCAAGGTCACAACCTCGACAATAGCCGTCAAAGGGGGCGCCACGCTCCATACAATCATCATGGAGCGGCGTGCAGGAATGAACGTGCAAGCGAATGCAGAAACCAAGCCGCAGATGAGCAAAACACGTCAGACGATGAGCACGGAGTGGATTACAGAGCACGATGCTGCCAGTGTTGCATACTCGGTTTGACTGAAGCATCCATTGGGCGGGCAGTGAGTGAGTGGGGATGAAGTGGGAGTTGGCGTGGCTGCTCTCTGCATGGCGTGCCTGAGGGCACGAATACTGCGCCTGTCTATGCCCGATCTGTCACTTTCCTTGCTGTACAGCACACATGTGATTTTGCTCACTCACTGCTTTCGTCTGTTTGTCACGTCGTCCAACAAGTGGATTGTGCCTATCGTTGAGCGCGTGGCGTGACGTGAATACTGCGTGCATTCGTCTGCGCTGCTCCACCAATCGGAGGCAGAGAGGGGGAGCTTCGTGTCGTGTCGTGCGTATGTCTGAGTGACGTGTGTGATGGTCTGAGTGATGTGTTGTGATGGATTCCTTGACTAGGAAAGACAGTGTTGCTCGTATGTCATCGAAAGGAGGGCTATATGCGTGACCTTTTCCATGGCTCGTGGCGTTGGGTCTGTTTTATCTTAAGCCAAGCGTCCTACAATCGTCCGTGCGTGCAGCCAACCAAGCAGATCTAACCAATCACAAGCGCCATGCATCTACACCTCGACAGTCCTTACTTGCCTTCTTCACCGACCTCACCATCTCACGTGATGGGTAAAGAAAGGCACAAAATGGACCTTTCCAAGAGGGAATGACGCAACAAGACGAAAGAGCCACCGAGACAGACAGGCAGACAGACGGACGGACGGAGAGGCAGAGCATTCATATGTACGTACAGCTGCCTACTGTGAGCCAGCAGGTAACAGTGTACACGACAGACAGACGGGATGAGATGACAAATGAATAAATAAACAAAAAGATCAGGCACCCTACCCTACAGGCACCCACTGATTTCCGAGGCGAATGACCATGTCCCCCCTGCCCACACAACAACATTGGGGCAAACGAACATCGTCCATGTCCTCGAGAGGAATCACAGCTTCAGTCGATAACGCCAGCGACGCAGAACACCGGCACAGAAACCACTCATCCTACACGACTGACTTCCTGAAGGCGCCTGCCGCGGAGAGTCCCCTCCTTGCTCACACCCCTGATAACCAGAGTGACAAGATGATGACCCGCAGAATGATGACGAGAGTGAAGGCGGCGAGGGCTGTGTAGAGGCAGCGGCGGGCCCACTTATGCCTCTCGGACCCCTTCTTGGCGTCGAGATTCAGACAGAAGGCGATGCAGCCGATGATGGGGAAGAATATCGACAAGACGCACGACATCTGCACAGACAGACAGACAGACACATTCATTCTAGGAGTCTGCGAGGGGGACAGGCTGACTCCTTCGGCCTGCCCTGCCCATCCATTTATCTGTCTGTCTGTCTGCGTATCTCACCTACCTTTGCGCAGTTGAGCATTGAGTGATCGGCTGTCACGTCGTCTTCCAGCTGCACCTGTTTCATGTTGATCACATGCGCTCCTCCCAGCTGCGGCTTCACATACTGCTGCTGGACAGGCCCTTTCTTGCCTCCCTGGGTCTCCTGCCCCGCCATTTCTGCATTCGTCGGATCAGCTGCCGCCCTCTGGCCACAAGGCTGCAGGCTGAGGGCCCAGGAATCGGTAGACGTTGGTGGACGGGTGGTCGGAAGCGAGATGTTGGATGACGCAAGGCCCCCAGGCGATGAGTAAGGCCCTCAGAAAGCAAAAGCTGGCAGATCTCCACTCTGAGCTCGCGTCATTCGCGATTCCGCGATTCAATCGAAGAATCGAGTCGTCGAGGAGCAAGACCAGCAGGAATAGACACCAGGAAGGCCATCTGACGTTTGACCATCGCCTTTTTTTTTGGAAAAGAGAAGGATTGAGGAGCTGTGTCCTGCCGGTGCATCTCTCGCACGGTCTACTCTACTCTCGTCGAAGGTGCTGCCGTCGCATCCTCGGTGTCTGCTGTCGTCGTCCTGCTGCGATGAGCGGTGTTATGGAGCCGTCTGTGAGTGTGCGGTTCGCTGGCGATGGGGAGGGCGATGCGCCGCTCGCAAGGCCGCTCGTCGTCAAGGAGGGCGTCATACGGCTTTTTAAATACTTCAATCAGGTACACACACGGCAGAGATGACAGACACGTGACATGCACACCATGTGTCTGTCTGTGTGTGTGTGTGCAGGTGATGGACGGCGAGTTTCAGGAGGGCCAGGAGCGTCAGGTGTGCATCGAGAAGATCAGCCGGCCCATCGGTGAGGTGGTGCTGCAGCAGGAGGTCGACATCGTCAAATCGCTGACCAAGGACAACTTGGTCGACGCGATGGTGGCCCTGGACTACCTCCAGTTCGACGTCGACCAGATCTTTACCAAAGGCAGCACTCAGAGCCTCCTGTGGCGCATCCATCGCAAGGTGAGCAATCGGCATGAGAGAGGTCTCGGTGACGGAGTCACCGTTGGTGCGCTTTGACTTCTTTCAGGTTGTTCTTGAGGACTGGCTAGATGACCATCAGCTGGCCAGCAACTTGCTGGACAGCTTCGCTCGCTACCCCTTCCTGGCCCGATTCATCCACTGCCACCCCGACATCTGCGCGGCGCTGCGCCAGTCCGTCCGCAGGAAGTGTGACGTCATCGGTGATCAATGGCGGCGACGCGAGAGGGGCAAGCCCGAGGATGACGGCATCAAGGCGGCCGTAAGCCTGGTGGCCAGCCTGGCAGACGCCATCTCGTATAACACAATTGACATGTCGCGTCACGAGCTGGCCGGCTTCCTCACGAATGCGACGGGCTCACCGTCACTGCCGGCCGCACATGGTAAGAAAGACAGCAGGCGGGGGTCCCTGTATGTCTGTGGTCGGTCTGTTATTGCGCTGTGTATCTCAGCGGCCGCTTTCGAGTCCGACGAATTCTCATCTTGTTCTACGGCGACGGTGCGGCCCTTTGCCGGCAACCAGCGGGGATCTGTCACATGTATGGGCTTCGCTGTCGAGGTGGTGGGTCTTCCCCCTCCCTACATCTCTCACACAGGCACCACCCTGCCAGTTGATGCTATCCGCGACGGCGATGCCAAGCTGACGGAAATGGCGGGCTGGTACGTCAAGTTCAGGCCACTCGTTGGAGGGCGAGCTGAGGGGGAGTCTTTCATGTCGTGCTATGCGCCCGATGGCTCTCTGGAGGTGGCTCATCCTCACGGCGATTCCGACGCCACTCATCCCACTGTCCAACTGCACGACAGCCCGACGCTGATGGACGACGACAAGATCCGCATGGGCGATCGAGCATCGGCTGGCACCTCTGTCAGTGAATTCGGCGCAAAGTTTATGGGACGGTCATGCTGGCAGTATGGCCCCTCGTTATTGCTGCCGATGCGCTGGCGGGGCTGGGGGACATCCGCCTCAAGGATGTCGTGCTGCAGATGACGACTCGCCACTTCCCGCTGCGTGTACTGGCCCTGCACTATCTGCGGATGTGCGTCATTGACGGGTGCTATGAGGAGATCTCCAGGATGGCCAAGTGAGTGGGGAGATGACCACATGCACACAAACAATGCGTGTTGACTCTCTCTCTCTCTGTCTGTGATTGTCTGTGTGTGCAGGTCGATTCATCGTGACGTTGCCAAGTTCCTCATCACCAACATGACTTTGGTGCAGCGCCATCGTCTCTCACTGATGCTGTACTGGGCGGCGGCGATCGAGGGCCTCTCTCAGTCTCGTGCTGGCCAAGTCTCATCCGCGCTGGAGTCTGACTTCGACGTCAAAGATGTGCCGGCCGTCCTTCCCGTGGTGCCCCTCCTCTCGTCAGCCATCCAGACGGCATTCAAGAACGCCCTGAAGAAGGCAGTCGACGCACGAGACGACACGGCCTTCGGCGAGCTCTACGACCAACTCATCAGTTGCAGCAAGACGGTAGTGCATATCACCGACCTCTTTCCGCCATTCTCCCGTCCCCTTCTACATCTGGGTCTGTCTGTGTGGATCTGCAGTGTGCCAAGGAGGCGGCCGAGCGGCATCGTCTGGAGGCTGAGAATGAGCGACTCCGCAACGAGAACGCCACGCTCAAGGAACAGGTCAGCTGGATGTTTGCTCAGCCAGTACGCATCAGTCCTTCATTTCATGCCTGCCTGCCTGTCGTGGGTTCGTTGGTTCGTCGGTTTAGGAGCGTCGTGGGACGGAGCGGCCACGCGATGAGATGGAGGGCCAGCAGCAGCAGCAGCAAAAGGGGGACGCTGACCGTGGGATGAAGTCATAGACGCGACTATGTGCCCACGTCCCGCTCTTGTCATCTGCCTATGAATGCACTGTGTTGTCGCATGCCCCATCGGTCCGTTAGTTTTAGTCTGACAAAGTGCGTCGGTCGATCGTTGGTTGGTTGGATTCCCTCCCCCATACAAGTATTACCAACAGATGAACAATTCAAGAAACACACACACACACACTATAACCATGCCATCAATCACACGGCGCACGCACCCATACGTTCCCAAAGGCCCGCGTGTGTCAGTATTCATCCTCTCCATCACTGTACTCATCAGCCAACTCTTCCGTGTCGCCCGTCACATTATCGCAGCCATCGTCAGTCGCCATTTGCCGCACGTCGAGCACCAAAGTGCCCTGACGCGGGTCGGCAGACACAATGCCCACCTACAACCATTACAGACACACATACAGACACAGACAGACAGACAGAGTAGACAAGTGTGTTTGTGTGTGTGTGCTTATGGGTGCAGAAGGGTGCCCACGTCGAGGGTGTCTCCCGGTTGGATGTCCCCCTCTCGACTTGGCAAGTCGTACGTCAGCTCGAGACCGACAGAGGGGAACAGCAGCCGGTAGCCCATCCGGCCCACGCGGCCCAGCACCAGGGCCTCCATCCGCTGTGTCTTCCGCCGCCGGAGATACTCGTACGTCCAATACCGCTCGGATGACCTCTGCACACACACACACGCACACACATTGGGAGAGAGACACACACACATTGGTGACAATGCTCCCCTCCCTCCCTCCCTCCCTCCCTCTCGGCACACACACGCACCTGTAGCCTGTTGATGGCCGCCGTGCTGTCATTGGCGATGGTGTCGCGCAGTGCCTCGGCCGTGAAGGGCAGACTGGGGGATGCTGACGCTCCATCTGCCCTCCTGGCATGCAGCGCCGCTTTGATTTGGTAGTGGATGAGCAGGTCGTTGTAGCGCCGGATGGGCGACGTGAACTGCACATACGCCTCCAAACCAAGACCTGCACACATACATAAAGGCATCCAGCGACTGTGCGCGCCTCCCTCCCCTCAGTCAGCTAAGGACTCACCGGCATGTCGATACGGCACCAGTTGAAGGACGGCCGGCGAGTAGAGCTTGCGGACGGCGTAGCTCCTGCAGTAGGGGTGGGAGAGGGCCATGATGGCCGCCAACTCGTCACCCGTTATCCTGGTGGGGGCGTCCTGGCCTCTGTAGGGCACCGGGATCTTGTGCGCATGGCAGAACCGCGCCACCGCCTCGCCGGCTAGGACCATCATCTCAGATACCAACACCTACACACACACACACATACAGAGAGAGAGAGAGAGAGAGGGATAGGGGTATATAGCGTCTGTGTGGGTGTGCTGGACCGTTTTGCTCACCTGTGGGTCGGTCGCCCGTTCTCCGTCTGTCATGCTGTCCGCCCAGCCGTCGAGCTTGACGTCGACGAAGTACCCGTCGGGCTCAGATTGGTCCTTTTTTGCTCTGACCTTGCACCTGATGGATGGATGGACCAACACACAACACAACACATCACACGGAGACCATCTCTCTCTCTCTCTCTCTGTCCAGTGCGTGTGTGTTGGTGGCTCACGAGGGCACTTCGGCGGCCCGCAGCTGCTCCAGGATGCCCTGCTGCCTTCGCCACTGGCGGCGCCGCGGAGCCCAGTCAGCCAAACGACCTGCACGCACACCACACGCAGACACAGAGCCAATGCATTCATGTGGACCTCCTCCCATGCCTCCCTACTGAGGTCTTTTCGCATTTCCTCATCGTGGCAAGATCCCTCTCCGTCTGCTACACTGTCATTGCTGAGTGTGTGGGCGACCATCTGCGGAGTGGCCTTGTGCGTGACGAGGATGCGGGACGGCGTGAGGGTGACCTCATCTGCAGCAATGGAGCCGTCATCGTTGAGCACCACACCCACACTCATCGCATAACGGGGGCCATCCTGCGACAGACACAGAGAGAGAGACAGAGAGAGATAAAGTGTGTGTGTGGGTATGTGTTTGTGTGTGGTGTGGATGTGAGTTGCCTGTGTGAGGCTCATGAGTGTGGCGGCGACGCTCATTGGGAACATGGGATAAGTGGCCTCCGGCAAATACAGAGTCGACTGCCTCCTCGCGGCCTCTGCATCCAACACACCGCCCCTGCACACACACACACATACACAGAGCACCCACTTTCAGTGGCCCACACACACACACAGATGGCTACCTGTGTGTCCATCTTGAGACGTCTGCAATGTGTATCCACAGCCTGTCACGGCCGTCGTCCGTCGGCTCGATGGAAATGCCGTCATCCACCTCAACCGTCGACGGCTCGTCTATCGTGTACACCTGCACACACAGAGAGATGGAGTGGATGGGTGGGATGATGGGTGGATTGGCTTGCCCTCAGGTGCGTGAGGTCTCTCCGGATGGCGGCATCTGGGTCGGCTGGCGGGTCGGCCACCAGAGAAGCCGCCGCATCAAGGACGGACCGAGAGAACGGCTCTCCCAACTGCACGTCCACACACACACACACACACATCAAATAGAGAAATACGTCAAAGCTGTCTCTGTGTGTGTGCGTGTGTGTGGGGGGGGGGGGGGGGG